GAGAAATGCATTTCATATTAACGGAAGATTTAGGCTTTTCTGTTACTGCCATTTCTCATCTGAAGCTTTTTAAACTATGGCTAGTAATATATAATGAACAATGCGAGCCAATATCTACTCATCTTCATGGCATGAAACAAAGTTAGCTTCAGTAAAAGAATCTAAAAACGATTCCGTAACAGCGCAAACCCTGAAAGACTAATTGTTTACATGGTTTATAAAATAGGAAATATTAGCAAAAGGAGACATGGATATTGATTTCAATTACAAATTTGTACCATTGATTGCAAATATAGCTCATTAGTTTCTCTGAAGTTCCTTGCTGAGTTCAGCTCGCTTACTAAGCATTGCCAGGAGAGGTGATGACCCCAGGCCAGGGAGCCTGTGAGGACACCTGCCTAGCAGACGGTCCCACAGAGCCGTGGGACGAAGGCTTCGCAGCAGCACAGGAGCTCGTAGTCGCTTGTGGGAGAAGCCACCTCTCCCCACTCGCTTTTCAGACAAGATACTGATGCTCATCTAATGTTACCCATGGAATCAAATTTGATTTTTCACTTTCCAGACTGAAATCACATCATTTTTAGAGACCCAGCTAAAGCCTGCAATGAATTAAAAACTGTTTCTCCATTCATGGAAGTGAAAACATGAGCACTCACAGTCCAACTGCTTTGTTGCTTATCTTCATAACCACAGCAGCTTCCTGTGTGTCAAGAATGTGACCTCTTTGTTCCCTGTCTAAAGTAATTTGCCAGTTCCAAGATACTCTTGAAACACATTTTTATTAAATTTAGATCAAGAATCTAATACTTGTTCCTTCTTTTTAATTAGAATAAGAACAGACAATTGTTCTTATAACCACTGCTCTCTACATCAGTAGTGACGAAGCATCCCAGAGATTCTGACCAGCCTTAAATGCAATGCATGCGAGTGCTGTGAATGATTTTTCTCATTTGCCATATTTAGTCTTTAACACAAAGATACTGCAGTCTCAGACAAAATGATTGCAAGTCAACTCACTTGCAGCATAAGACAGAAAGGACTTGAATGTCTGGAAATGGAGATGTAATATTATAAACCTGGAAACCAGAAATGCATATAGCTGGTAATTGCATAAATTTCATGCATGAAATAGTGGATGCACAAGGATTTCACACCCATCCAGGCCCTGACTGCTAATATGAGTGGGACATGTTGCACATATACTTCACTCCATAGCCTTTTCAAATACAGGTCAAAGTGATTTGGAAAACGCATAGGCCATTAATTTTACAGAACAGATTTTGGCTAGGGATAAAATAAGTCGGACGGAATGCTTTAAATCCTCCCTATCCAAAAGGGATTAATTCCTCCAGAGGTAGGAAGAAAAAAATATTGAAGTATTCAGCTTGTTGGAGGATTCACATTGCAGAAGTTGCGGACAGTTAAAATGCGCAAGGCAAACGAAGGGTGCCTTCCCAGGGTCAGTATGAAGAATGCCTGTAGGTGGGAGGATATAAAATATATTGCTGGAAGACAATCAAAAGATCATCTACTCCTTGTGAAATGGTAAAACGAGCCTTTTGCCAGCAGTTCACTGCATGTCCTGTAGAAGAATCAAGGTTAAAAAGGTGGAAAGAAAATAAAGGGGGAAAAAAGTCCTTCTTAAACTGTCCAGGCTAATCTCTTTATACTGTACTTGCTGTACTTGTGTTACTTCTAATAGTAACTTATATCAATTGCACTTAAAAAATAGCAACAGAGTTATGTAGTCAGTTCTGGACTTCTTACAAAACTCTGAAGTAAAAACAAACAAACAAAACCCCCTCCATTTTAATTTACCTACTTGCAATGAAAATGCCTCCTTCTGAACGTTACTAAGTCTCGGCAGTACTCAGGCGCTGTGAAAGCCATGAGCATGTACACTTGGAACTTCTTTTAGGCACCTGGATGTCTTCGCTATCAGCATGCCTAAATCCAAAGCCTCGTTCTTATTTTCTTTTCTTAGTTTTCTCCTTTTCCTTTTAACTAAAAGGAGATGATTACTACAGGTGTCCAAGTTTCAATCTTTACCTTCCAACGGACAAAAAACAACAGTTATAGGAAAGTGCTCTGAATATGTTATTTTTTAATAGCTACTAAGAAATGATAGTTTGGAAACCAAGATATTCTGGAGGCACTTTCTCAATCTATAGTATTTTTGATAAACTGACTTTTGCTTCTGAAGCAGGAATTCAGGATTCGTTTGGTATAGTGACTCTTAGTATTTTCCCCCCAAATTATATAATCTGAATAAGAAATAAGTTTTCTGAAACATAGCTATTAATTGTATCAAGAAACTTTAAATTGTGATTACATATCTTTTACAGTAATGTTATCCCTCTCCACTATAAATCAAAATATATTTATTCAGCATTCTCCAGATCAAATATTCTTTCCCTTTGTTTGACAAGGACAAAATCCAGTGTGCTGTTCAATAGCAAGGTGACTTGAAAGTTTTTCTAACGTGTAATCCCTTTTTATATTGTGTTATGTATGAACTCAAAGACAAAATATCTGCATTATCTTAAATAAACTAGATAAAGTGTATTTCAAAAAGTTTCTTGAGTCAAAAAGTAGCAAATCATTGTATGTATTTTCCATATTTGTATAGGTTTCATTATATTCTCAATCTAAGTTACTCTTAAGTCTCTTTCATATTTAAAAAATGAACTACACACCTATCATGCAAAATGTAAAGAAGTATGTTCAACTAGTTCAAATTAGATATACATTAAAAATACACTTCCAAAGAAATATCATTTCCATTTTTGTTCATGTTTTTAACAGAATTTCAGACTAATACATCAAATGTGGAACTGTACAAGTATGTGAAGAAACATTAGGATTGCAGTAGTAAAAAAATGTACAGCATTCAAAACCAACAAGCTCTAAACAACCAAACAATACCACAGGATTGAAACAATCATGGGGACAACATAGGTCATTGGAGCCAGTGAGTGAATCCTAATGCACCTACATAAAGGCCCTACATAGAATATTGTCTCTTATTTATATGCAAAATCCCTGATTTGATTAAACCAGACAATTTATCTAATTGTCTTTTATAGGTTTTAGATAATATTAACACTAGAGTATTCCCCTCCATAAATTTCAGTTATTTGAAAAGGCAATATCGAGAACTGATTTGAAAGGTATTTCCATCCATGTGGATTCAGGTAGTTAAAATACAAGATCACAAACAATAGCACTGCAATTTTAAAGAACCATTTGAATTGTTACCAGCTACATTTGCCATAACACGAATTCAGGATTCAGTTTTTTAAATCTATCTGGTTACAAGTTCATACACAGGGTTTTTAATTAGGGGCAGTATCCATTTAACATTGGACCAACATTGCCTTTTAAATCAAGAAAAGATCCAGCTAAGCATGTCATAAAAATAAAATCTCCAAGGTAATTGACAATGAACAAAACATTACATACAGCAGAGTATCTGTGTCTGAACATCTTTAAAAGGCAGATATGTACTCTTTTACAGTCCACCAACCAGTACAATTTCCTTATTAGACATTAATATTATGAGGAAAAGATGTCTTGGACAAACTAGTAAAGGTTATTAATTCAACCTGAATTATTTTTTTTAAATATGTCACCACAGTGCATAAACTTAAAAGACTACGCTAGCCTGTTCGTTTTAGAGAACACAATTCCTTTCACAGATCTTAGCTACTTATGAGTTTTTTAAGGACTACCTTGCTTTTCAGATAGCTCACCTGTATTTTTTTAAAGCTGAAGTATGAAAAAGGTTAATAAATGACCTAATTATGTCAGCATTTCTATCCCACAGTCATCGTACACTGAGATCCCTCACTGATCTCGATAGGAACTTGGCATGTACAAGAATGGCAAATTTTCAGCTGAGAAAGCTGAATAAATATAGCATTTTTAAACCAAAATATTGTTACCAAAGAGTCTGGCCTAATAAATCATCTTCAATGCATTGAGAAGGGCAAAGAATACAAATCTTGGCACCTATCTTGCCGTTTATTTAGAATAATCTTTTAGTAATTTTGATCCAATGGGAATGACAGATTAGTTTTAGAGAGCTAGCCACATACAACCTAACATTTTTGATGGAAAAATCTGAGTGTAACAGATTTGAAAAGGAACAACCATACTCATGTTATATATCACTCAGAATGTATAAAACTACAGGGCAAACAGCTCAGTGTGTACTCATTCTTACGCGTATTTGAACTTTGCTGAGGTATACTCATTATTTCTTTAATTACAGAAAAGTATCTTTAAAAATGACAGGAAAAAGCTCAAAGTAAGAGTGATATTCTGCACAAGGTTTTATCTGGAGAAGGAATTCAATTACATTGAAAGGTCCATAATAGCGAAAGGAATAACCACTTTTATTAGTATCAGTAATATCATATTCTTCCCTAGCTTTTTATTCCCTCAAAGCATTACAAAAAATGTAAGGCCGTTATCTTTATAAAACATAATCTTATCTCATCTTTGCCCACCAATGTTGTAAATCAACCTGAACTACTTCATTTTCTTTCCTAGGGAAAACGTTACCCAGTGTCCACCTCTGTAATAGATTAATTGTGGCCACACCGCTCTCGCATGCCTCGTTTGCCCTCCCCATGATTTGGGACAAGCCATCTCTTGCACAAAAGCAAGACTGCTTTCATAAATGCTAGCTGAAGTCAAGTGTCATTTCAGCAACAAAACTAAGTACAATTTGTCTGTCTGAATTTCAACATTATATGATCATTCCTACCTGCAACTAACAATTATTTATTTCTCTATAATGAAAATACCTAGGCTGTTGTACAAGCTGGATTTCTTACCCATATATACTTCAGGAACAGGAGGCATGTATACAATATATTTAGAGTTCATCTTAGGCAGATACTGTGTTTCAACTGCAATTTTCTAATCCATTTAAATACAATCAGCCTATCTTTACTTTGAAATTAATGTTAAATGTAACTGCAGCCATTAACAAGTAGTTTCCGTAAGTGGTTTTATTACTGGTTAGATTTTACAAATTCTGGCATTCGAACAGACTTTGACCTCAAAATTCTAAAACAACAAAGCAACCAATGAAAGGCTTAGGACTATTCAAAGTAACAAACTCTTAACATTTTTGCCTTGGTCATAAATATACAGAGAGAAAAAGAGAGAAATGGACATGGAATCCAAAGTATGTAGATAAAACAGTATATAAGGCACATGGCAGTCTTTGAAAATACAGAAGCTTTAGCCAACTTAAATTAATTGCTGTTTCCCTTGCTCAGTCCACAAAACTGTACAGTTACACAAATGTTGTGTTGCAATAGATCTTCCAAGTTATTCTTCAGTCCATACTCCATAACACCAGAACACTACATTTCCTTCTGTTTTTAGGAGAGATCCTAATTGTGGTTAGTCAGTTGCTCAAAGCCTCTATTAAAATACACTTGGAATTTCAACTAAAAATAATTTCTTTTTTAAAGAAATTATTGAGAAAGAGTCATCAGAAAAGATTTGTAAGAGTTGTCTGTGAAGGACTTCGAGATTCATGAACCTCAAGACTTCCGGGCACTGACGTCAAGACAGATGTCACAGTAGGCATAGTAGGATTAGTCAAGTCCGTTAAGGTAGTGGGAGTGCTGGATGGACTCATGGAGGCATTGGATATTTCTGAGGCAGGACCTGATGGGGTCCCTGCTTGGAGTGTTGAATCTGAAGTCTTATCCACCCCTGTGTTTTCTTGACGTAAGAGGTTCCGTCTGAATTTGGCTCGAGCATTTTGAAACCAAACCTGAAATAGTTTAATATAACAGGGTAGCATTTAAAGAGCTGCAGTGTTGAAAAAAAAAAGCAAAAGCATATTCACAAATTCACCAATGCTTGAATTGGGGAAGATGTTTTTATTGGCAACACGTGAGAAGAGTAGCCCCAATCATGAGAAGTGTCCTCTGCATGCCTTATAAAGCATTCCTCTTTCCCTTTCCTGCATTTCTCTGTGTAAACAGCCTGCTTGGACATGAGTGGGCTAACGATGAAGGAGAGGAGCCTTTCTCCGCAGGCTATGTATAAAGATGCTTACAAATTTGGCAGCCCCCATGAATCCTCCATTGCCCTCACTCCCTGAAGTATCTGTCAGGATCAGGCAGAAACCAAGCATATGATGAATACGAAAAAATAAGTTTCACCAATCTTGTCTCTTGACCATAGGCAGGAGGTGACCCAGATCCTATCCATAGCACCCTGCCTTTCTGCTGTCCCTGAGAGCTCCCGTAGCAGAGCAGTTTCAGCAGCATTTTCACTTTTCTGAAAGAATTGTCCCTCTTTCTTACTCTTTTCTAACTCTTCCTTCTCAAATGCTTCAGCTCCCATTGCCTACCCCAGTCTCTGTTTTTATACTTTTTCGGTACTGGAATGAAGGCAGAAAAAGAGACTTGAACAGTATTAAAGACTCAAATTGCATTCAAAACTGTAATCTCAGAAGAAATGATATCCACATACAGAAATATTTTTCCAAGTTTGCTACTTCTCGCAAAGGACAAAAGCTGGCTTCATCTTCTCCAATTAAATTTCAAAGTTTAGGTTCAAATTAATAGTGCTCTCCACTGCTGCAGGATTTGTTTAAAGATAAAATGTATTTCTGATCTATCTGAAAATAGACACAATGAAATGTGTTTGTGAAACTTGTGTGAAACACAGGTAAATTGCAAAATGTCATTAAATACCCTACGTTCACTCTGATGTGTGTTGAAGCCAGCTAATTTTATTGATATAAACCAGCGGAAATTTCACTGTGCCTAGTTATCGGAAGGCCTTATGTCATTGTTATATTCTTTACGATTGACCCAATCCTGATCATCATGTCCCCTCATTAACCTACTTTAAGGAATAGAATCAAGTCTTTCCATTGCAGATGCAATGAGCCTTATCATCTGTGTATCTGTGAGAGAAAGGGACTAAGGGAGTGAAAATATCCGTATAGTTACACACTTTTTCCACCAGATTTCTCCTGTGTGGCGAGTACAGGGAGCTGAGCCTGCAGAGCTCACAAGGCCAATATATGGCCAGAGCAACCTATAGGGAAATCCTGGCCTCTCCTAACGCTGAAACAGCACGGCCCTTGCCATAGGATCTACTTTAACCCAGACCCTCACCACTAATGAAAGAGTGACATAGAAATATAATACAGCCCCATAAGGTATCCTCTTTGCACTCTCAACTTGCCAGCCACAGTTAGAGTTGAGGAACATGCCTCAGACTGTTTTTCCTCTGACTGGTTTTCTTCCCATCTATGGATGTGCAGCCCCAAATTGGGATCTTCAGTCACACACGCTCTCTCTCACACTCTCTCCAGGGGATGCATAAGGATATGATCCTCAGGCACAAATTCTACTAGTGACCACAGGAGCGGCATTCACAGTCCTTGAATAACTAACATCCCTACAGATCCTTTTTTCTGAAAGCTCAGTATTTTAAAATAGTTTATGCTGGTGTTACCTTTGTTTAAACATTTAATTTAAAGGTTATATATAGGTTTCATATATGACAAGAAATCAAAATTTTTCTCCTAAAACTGACAGTGGTAGAAATATTTTCATGGTGTTATGGCAAAGTCCATTACAGTGGTATAATTTTTAAAGGCCAGTGATGTAGTCAGAACTGGCAAAAACAACAAATATGATATTTTTGCCTGAAACATTCACAACCAAACAATGTCTTCCTCTCACATAAGTATTCTTTCAGAGCCACGCACGAAGAGTCGCAGGAGCAGGTCTGCGTGGTTCCGAGGAAGGCGAGGAGCCTCGTGCGCAACGAATGCGAGTGAAAGAAATCAGTCTGACCGGAGTATTCAAGCTGCAAAGGCTCAAGCACCAATTGGCAGGAATGGCAAAAAAACAGGAATGTTAACGTTTATGGGGTTTTCCACCTTTCAGTAAGAAATAATTTATATTTGTCCCACAAATACAATAACTTGTTTTGGATTTTTTTTTAATATACCTTCTCTAGCAAGTGTCAAAAAAGGCTAATTCATGCAAAGTTTAAGTAGAAGTTTAGAGATGGTCACCGCTGACATGTATGTATACCACAGTTACATCATAATTAAAACAAAACAAAGTCACTGGTCCGATTGCATATACATATACTACCACATAATTTCACACTATTGTTCATTAAAAATACATATATATTTATATATAGAAGAGCCCCAAATATGAGTAAAATTTCCATTTCTATCCACAAAACAGTTTTTTGTTAAAAGACTGTAAAGCCATAGAAGATACCATAACTATTTAGTTCACTCACATTGTACCTAAAAGTCCAACTAATCCTTAACCTTAGTTGAGCAAGAGAGTCTAAAGTATTTCAAATTATAAACAGAGACAATATGTAAAGAAAAGTGAGCAAGATTATTGGTGCTTGTGTGTTTCCCTTTATCTTCCGTTAAATATAGGTCAAAACCTGTGCCCAGATGCCCTTACAGATGACCATTAAAGCTACTTCCAGGAGCTGCACATGTAAGGAGACATTTTTTACTCCTAATGCAGCAAAAGCCTCCCTTTAGTAGAGGTAATGCATGTTAGCATTAGACACAGAAAATATCCACGGTCCTGCAAGTATTACGCAAAAATATAGGCAATATGACTAATTTCACTTTCTTCCTCACTGAAATACTATCAAGGTCAATTGGTTAATGGTTATAAAGATCTTTGAAGTTGTCCAAGAGTAAATATTCATATAATTACTGAAAGACATCTAAATATTGATTAATTAAAATCCTGAAAATATTTTGCTTTACCTTAGAAAGGAATAACATAAAATAATTATCACTATCGCAATATTCTGGTATGCACTTAAGATATGAAAGCATTCAGCAAAGACTTCACATTGAAGAGTACTGAAAGAATTAAAATTATTGTTTTATTAGTTGTAGGAACGTAGGCCTGATTCTCTGCTGCCTTGTGCTGTTACTTATAGCTGTGCAAACTAGCATGTAAGAGCTGGCAAGTCGGGATTGCTGTCCCATGCGTAATGGCGACAGCGCTGTACGCTCATATTGGTAATTCAGGCCCTGCACCTGTAACGGTATTACATTAAAGCAAGGAAATAACGACCCAAATATACATAACTGAAAGAATTGTTCCAGAAGGACTTATCTCACATCAATTACACAATTAGGAATCTGGTCTTCAGAACTGAAGAATAAACAAAATCAGTGGAAGTATTTAGTGTTTTTCTGTCCAACTGTATCACTGTAGGGCTGAGCTATTTCAAATCAAAGAGGAAAAATATGGAACAAAACTCCCACTGAAAAATAAAAGCAGCTGCAAGATCAACTACTACATTCTAGCTAACAGGGCTGAACATCTGTAGCTGGGGAACTCAACAACTAGGCAGAATGGTTCGGCGGTTAAAATATTACACTATTTCTTCAGTGATCTGCACAACTAACTTGTCTTCCTTTGCCTCAATTCCCCAACTGTAAAACAGGAATAAAACAACATCTTCATAAGATAGGGAAGTACTGAAAATAAATGCACTAAGTACTGTAAAGGATTCAGATACTGCAGTGAAGAAGGCTATGTAATCACCTTAGATAACTTTAATTTTTGTTTATAAAGCCTCCATTGTTGCAACTATTATATATTAGTAATACGAATAGCTTGCTCTAGAAACAAATTTTTAAGCACAATTTTGTTAATTCACACAGCTACCTGGGAGACATTTAGTTTTACTGAATTTTACTAACTAATGAGGGGAGAAACACAAATAGAAATGTAAAGGATGTTGCACCACAAAGCAAACCATGTTTTCTCATTGCACACACGTTCCGATTATTCTGCTCTGAATATTAATCACACAGTTGAAAGAGAACTATAGGATATTTTGTGAATGAAGTCTCAGTAACAGATCTGCAGTACGCTATTCTAAAGTAAACCTTCGCTGAAAGATAGTGCAGGGTACCCACGCACGATTGTGATAATTTTCATTCCTTGCTAACTACTGGTAACTGAATTAACAAAGTCCTAACGCACGCAGGAGCGTTTTCATAGAAACATTACAGGGGAGCCGTTCAAAAAGGCGTAAGCAGTGTATGAGACACCCCACTGAACAACAATGGTTTATGTTCCTAAAGCGCTTTTGCCACAGACAGTCATGTTGCAAACCCTGGCAAGAGAAGAGGTCACTGGCCACACCTGTAGCTAGCAAACTGTATTTTCTTAGGGCTATCTACTTCTACCTTCCCTTTCTAGACTCGGGAGAAGAAAGATCACTTCCCAAAGAATAACATTTGCGCCAATTAGTTAGCTCACAATTAGCTGGTTACTTTAATTACAAATGAAAGCTTACAATAATAGGCATGTGTTCCCCGGCTGCAGTACAAGAGGTATACAAATTAAATAGCAAACATGAAGTTAAATGTGAGTGAAAATAAATAAAAATAGGGGGCACAAATATAAATAGGCCTACTGTGATTCTAATGTGGCTACTTAAAGAAAATAGTCTGCATTACAAAGCCACTAAAGGAAATGTAATTTATGAAGCAGTATGCTACATTTCCCTGCCATTCTGCTTCTGGACATGGGTAGCTGATGACTAATTGTATGTGCAGCCAAGAGAGAAGTCAAGTTTTCCAAATCTGATATCACGGATCATTAAGTACTGGGCCAAATTCTCCACTCATCCAACAACAAACTACCCCCTTACATGTTATGTGGGACTGCCTACGTAGTAAAGGCGCTACAGCCATTTCCTAAACACTAGGAACTCCACTACACATGTTTAGGAAGCACAGCGGTTTCAGTATAAGAGACAGCTGTCTTTGTCCTCATCTGCTGTCCTGTATTTTATATTAAAATATATTCTGTTGATGATACATAAAGAAATACTATCCTTCATCAGCTGAACTGAGACCTGAACATATTGAAAATACAACAGTTTGCAAACATGCCTAATAATAACATAGAAAATACTGAAAATGTCTTACTACTGGCAGGTATGCACATACGTTTGGGAGTCCCTGTGCCTTCAGTATGTAGAAGAGATTAATACTAATGATGCTTGTTTAGATCAATAGTGTCAGTGAATTACTGCATGGTCAATAAATGACACAGATGGAATGCCAACCTTTCCGGCTCAGAAGAATTAACAAGTGACACTATCTCAGTAACCAACATCATGAAGAGTTTTCCTCAGTAAGGAGCAAACTTGAAGCTAGTATAGGTGAACTTCGGTGTTTGAAAAACTGCCTTAGTGCCTTCGGAAACCCGTATTACTTCCTCTGACAGGTTAGGAATAAGCCAGTTGGGCACAAAAGCTTTAAAATCCAAAAAGTAAGTTTTTTTTTTCATGACTCAAAATAATTTTCAACCAAAAAGGCCAAAAAAGTATGAGAGAGTGCTCATAACAGACAGGAAAACTCATCAGAGTGATACTAGACAAAGTATCCCTCTGAGTCATTTTCTTGAAGTGCCTCCAACAGTATCATCCTCTGGGTGCAATCCTCACCACCAGCTATTACCTTCCACCACTCTTCAGCTAAAGGTGCCCAGAGATAAAGGAGTATTTCACTGCGGAAGTAAAAGAAGTGAAATACCAATTACCAAAAACATGAAAAAAGTTTAGTGGAATTGCAAAGGATTACCACAAAAGAAAAGAAGCATTAAGCACCTGAAAACGGCAAGATACAGTGTGTTTAAGATGGAAACAGAAGCAATACAGAAACTGAATGAGGGACTGAAGCGTAATGGAGACATGGAGTCAAATTTTGGAGACAAGGAAACACATCATAAAAAGGAAGGAAGGAACAGAGAAAATAATGTGGACAAGAGATGGAAGGGCATATGATTAGAAGAGAAGAGAAGAGAGATGGAAGTCAAAACTGATGCAGAATGGGCAGAGAGAACAGAAAGATGATCAAGAGAAAGACATTTTGTGGACACTGAACTCATTTCTTAGGCTGCTATGGCAGATCACTCAGATAAATCAGGTGCGAATGTACTGTAATGGACAGAACAGATAATACTAAACTTTGTGTCTAAACTCTGAGGATGAAATAAAGAGGTGCCAAAATAAGGAGAGATAAATGCAGAAATGTTTTTCTTTCAGATGCATGGATAAAGGAGAGCTGCTATGAGGGACACTCCGTCTAGTCTTAGGACGTGCACCAATTATATAGGGAAGAATCTGTTCCACCACCACAAATCAGCATCATTAAAACAAATAATATCAAGCTATGGAGGAAATAGCCAAGAGAAAAAACTATGTCCAGTTTTGTCATTAGTAGTTTTTACTGGGAATCCAACAAAATCTTTATTCCTTTTTCTGTTAGGTATTAACGCTGTAAAACTCAGAATCTCTTCAGGGAATTGAGTTTTTCTCAGTATTTTTTCATCTATTGCCCCTGGCTTGTCTATGAATTTGTGAGAACCGTCCACAATGTTTTCCTAGGGTTTTGTCTCTGAACCCCAGTTGTTGCTACGAAGTCCATAAACCATTTTTCTACGATCAGGATTCATTTAGAGGTTTCAGTAGCAGACTCTGGCATGTCGCTGTTCCCACATGTCCAAATTTATGTCTGGTTATGGTTATTTGGATAAGTGCCCGTTAAATTTGATTTCTTGAATCATAACTATAAATTAAAATGGAGCTGTAATCAATTGATACTCTCATAATAATTCAAATGGAGTATGTATCCCTGAGGCAAGAAAAATTCAGCTTTCAGTGAAAAGGTCTTTCCAAAATGCTGTCTCCTTTCATTCTAAGTTACTAACCTATGAATAAAAAATGTAATCTTTGAAAAATCAACTTTATGCCCACTTCAGCTGTATAAGAAAAAACATCTTCCCTGTCCTGATAAAATAAATCCAGACTTCTGATTAATTTCTTATGAAGGTAATTATTCATAGTAATTTCTAAATTAAGTATTCTCTATTTACAATGAACATATTAGTGAAAATAATTTGCTTTTTCTTACAGCAGATAGGAAGCTAAAATTACACAGCAGAATTAACTAACTTGGGAAAACAAGTAGGACTCCCAAACCTTCACAACTGCCATTAAAAAATTAGAACCCAAGTGATCTACCTTGGGAAAGCTGAATAGAACTAAATTGTACAAAAGTATTAAGAAAAGTCTTTAAAAGTGTAAGAAGTCTTTACAGAAAGTATCAACAATTAAGAAAAACTTGAAGATAACCAAAATCCCAGTGCTTCAAATCTAAAACTGATACTTTATTTATGATTTGAGAGAAAAGACTTTGTTCTTACCTGAAGAACTCTTTTGGTCAGGCCGGTTTTCTGAGCTAGCTGTTTCAAGTCCTTGGCATCAGGATTGTGGTTAATAGCAAAGTATGACTTCATTGTCCGCAACTGGTGGTGTTTGAATGATGTCCTCATACGCTTTGTTTTTTGATTGCTGGGGTATTGCTGGTCTCTATCCAGGTGGTCACCATCGTTTTCATTGCAACTTAAAGCTTAAGGCAACAAGAGGAAAAGGCGTGTAAATCTATTGCTCTGTGACCAACATTGTTTGCAGTTCATCTGAGTGCAGCAATTAAAATAACATACCATGCCATGTATTGTACTAGTACAAATCCTACTTGCCTTCCCCTCCATTGCTGCATCTTCTATTTTTCCCATACAATAACCAGTCTGCAAGGACCCTCACCTGCCTCTTTATGGCTTTTAAAATGTCAGGTCTGTTTCCTTTTTTCTTTCCTCTATCTTTACACAGCCTTTCCCCCACTTTCAGCTTGTAGGACAGTAGCTGTCCTCAACTCTGTAAAGTGTTTTAATGTACTTTGTATCACTGTAAATTGCATTATAATGTACAAAGAAAGCTGTACAATACAGTCCACTTAAATCTCAATGGAAAAGACCAGTTAAAATTATAATTATTTCTTCCACCAAACTAAACCCTGTAGAGCACAGGAGAGACCATTAAATGAAACACTATAAAAGAAAGAAAGTTTGTGGGTACCAGACAGCAAATTATGACTATAATTTGACTAGCTAAAGAAATAAAGCTGTTAATACAAAATATTAGTGGCATGCCAAATGAAAAATATACATTTTCAATGATTTACATACTTATATTTCTTTTTTTTTTTTTTTTAAGTATTTGGAAATACTAGCTTGAATGATCAATGTTGTTATATCCCTCTGAAATCACTGAACAAGATTGCTTGATACATCTGCATAAATCAACTGTAATGACTCTAAAGGATGTCTAGGAGCAAGGAACATTATTATAATTATCAAACAGTACTCAATGTTGAAAGCCAAGCAAAATATTCTCATAGACCAAAAATATTTTTAATGTATATGTGTATACAATAAACCACAGAAAAAACTCTTAAAGCGACATTAAGGATCAGGCTTAGGTCCACTGAAAAATACCAAGGATATAACTGAAAATTAGCTTTGACAAGCTGTCATTAATTTATTTTTCTGCTCTGACATCTGCAACTCCCTTTTAATATCCTAAAGGTTTTAAGTTAAAAGTAGGGAAAAATCACTACTATCTCCTGTTAAATGTTGCATCCAAAAAAAATCAGAAAAATACTGTATGTTGGGAGCTTTAAAATGTGAATTATAGATCAATTTCTTAAACACAAACATATTTAATTGTGCCTTTTCACTGATTTATTACAATTCGGTACATCTCATAGATATGTATATCTTTAGACTCTTACTTTAATTACATACCGTTTATCAGAGGTGTTAGGCCTTATGGAATAAGTAGGAATTCTGAGAGGCGTGTATTAAAATCAGTTTTCAAAATATTCATACTATGCATGTACCCATAAGAATAAATACATACAGATACTATAAAAAGCAGTTTTGCAGCATATACAATGACTGCTTTGCAAACTTGAGCTTTTCAGAAACTTTTTAAAAGACACGCCACATTATAGAGTAAGGCCTGCAAAAATTCAATTTGAAAACCAAAAGCAGGTTTGTTTAATAGATATATAAAAAGTATCCGAAGCCTCAAACTTCTCTGTGCGTTTCTGTATGCCTGTAATTTTAAGAACAGCCAAACACATTTTAAATCAAATGTGCTGTATATATATGTGTGAGCGTGTGTGTGCGTGCATGTATGTACATTTGTGTAAATCCTTTCCAGACTGACTATCTTGTGCCAAATTCTGGCAATGAGAAGCATTTCTACTTGTTTTCTTGTCTCATGGAGCAACTGGCAGTACCTGAATTTAAAAAGGATAAGAAATACAAAAGGAGATAGCAAAATGCAGGGCTGGCGGAGCTGGAGGGAATGCAGCAGGATCTTTCTCTGCTTTAAGAACTGAGGTCTGGTTGCCAAACTGGAGTCATCCCATGTGCTCCCGTCTCCCTCAGAGTTACAGTCCCTCCTGTATATAATGCTGGGAGGAATAACTAAAACTATTTTGCTCATAGCAAATGGTATTATGGAAATGTAAAGCAAGACAGTACTTGGTTTTAAAATTAACCTACAAGACTTTTAGACATTAGAAATGGAAAAGGCCTGTGAGTGTTATCTTAAATGCTTTCAAATCCTCCCAGAAATGACAAGGCAATGATTTAGGAGGATATGCATCAAAATCTTTACCTGAAAAACTGGGCTCTCTTCATGTTAATATGCAACAAAACAAACCCTAAGGTTGCAAGTGGCAGCTGGGTTTTAACCTGCACTGTAAAGAATGAGGATCCAAGGAAATAAAAGTGATTCTAAATCTTCCCAGAACGGAATCAGGCTATCAGCTTACCATCAAGCCCTAACTGGACAAGGAACCTTCGCTCTTTGAATTTCCCATAGTTTTACCCCCTCATCTACTAAATAAAAATAATATTAAAATGACAGTAAATATGCACCATTTGAGACTGGCAGAACTGCTGTCCTTCTCTAGGAAGAAAGTTACAAAGCAGATTATGAAAGTGCATCAGGGCGTCTGCTGTTCCTTGTCTTGTATGAGCCCCAGGCACCACCTATCTGACGTAAATATTCCTAGTTAATGCTAATTCCTCTCTCATATTTAGCTGTGGTATTTGGCACCAACCTTAAAAGTTTATTTTATTAGATCTAGTATTATACGCATCTCTCCCAGAATCTGAAATGTCTGTGGCTGTCACAGGCACAGAGATAGAGAATGGGCCAAGGGTTTAAGCATGTGGAGTTTGTAAGAGCTGAGAAGTTTCTGCAAAAGGCATCATGCCATAAAACTAGTACTGTACATGCTCCTCATGCAGCTGTCTGTTTTTCAGACACTTCCTTCATAGTGTCCCTGTGTATCTCCCAAATGAATTGTTGAACTATCCATATTTAAGATATCCATTCAGTTGCAGTATGTAGTACTTCTGTTGGGAGACTAGTTCAGAAATACATTTGGTAAAATGCCAGTCAAATAGAGGAGTCTTCGGTTAACAAATATTTCACTCCTAATTTGTGATAAAGCAAACTCTGAATTGGTGACAAGTCTCTTTTTCGACCCTAAAACATATGTAAGGCCCTTGTGCTTTCCCCCTGACCACCACACCCAGGCTATTGCCTTGCTGTCGCTGCCGGCTGGCCTCTCCACTGGTCAGCTCTTACGGTCTCCTCCATTAGCGCCACGGTACAAATGTCCATTTCGCCACAAGATGGTGATGTCCACAGATAACATCCCTGGAAATAGGGTTTTACTCTCTAACATGAGAACAGTGCATTTTGATATTGGTGACCAAAATATCCTCTACAGAATAACGCATAAAACCACTTCTAGAAACAGTGACATGCATACAAAGCAGGATGTGCAGCTATCGTAACAAACACTATTGGAAGAAGAAAAGTTGGGAGCCCTGTTTCACACTCAGATCCCAAGACCCCGACATGTCGGGCTTCTGAAAAATACACGTGCTTAGCCCGTAGCTAAGTATAAGGCACATGAAGAAGATGGGAATGGAGAATTTCCTTTGGGGGAGCTTTTGTTCTTAGTAGTTTGTGTTTGACATGTTAAACTACTCAAAAAGAAAGCAAACTAATCCCAATTCTGAAAGAATGATGAAACAAGAGACACATTTGGTGCCTACATCAGCTCTCCATTCTCAGTGGCTTGGGAACATACACCCCTCTTCTTCTGCAATCAGGGAGACGGGGGTGTTTTAACCTGCTGCTGCCTGGAGAGGGAACTTGTGATTAACTGGAACAGGCAGGGGTTCAGCCTTATTTGTTGTTTGGTCAAAGCATGTAAAGGACTTTGTGGAACTTGTAACCCTTAACGGCATAAAAGTGAGACAGCGTCCCCTTAATAGTACTTGGGACATAGTCAGAGACAAAGTCTTTCTCCCAGGTGGAAGGAGAAGAAGGCACTTAGATAAGGCAGATGCCTGAATCCCTTATCACAACTGGGATTAAAAGGGGAACTTGGCTCCCGTTATGAAGCTGCGACTCTTCGAGCAGGCAAGGTACCCCTCACTGCCTCTGGTGAGCCTCGAGATACTGAAAGGAAGGCACCTCCCCACCAAGGCTTCAGAGTAAAAGACACAGAAGGCGCTGCCTCAACCTTGAAATTTCAAGAAGCGTTTCTGGGAATAAGGAGATAAAGCCTGCCTTAAGGATGAGGGCGACTATCTTTTAGGCTGTGTATCACAAGGCCACGAGAGAGAAGAGTTCGGATTGAAAAAAAAAAAAAGAAAGAAAGAAAGAAAGAAAGAAAGAAAGAAAGAAAAGAGCCCTTCCCCGCAGCCTTCCTCAGCCGCCTCGGACAAAAGGGCCGTGTGCGCCGCTGCCTCGCGGGGTTATCCGAGGGAACGGCCCGTCCCCGGGGCGCGGCGCCTCTAGGGGGAGAGAGCGGCCCGGGACGGGCTGCGACGGGGCGGGCGCGGCGCCCGCGAACAAAGGGTGCGGAGCGGGGCTGCGGGCGGCCCTGCCGGGCCGACGCCGGGC